GTAGTCATTTCACTACATAATTCATATGCGCAAAAAACCATAGAAGGCGCTTTTGGTGTGAGTATAAGTGGTTTAGTTTGCGTACCTGGACATTTGGGGGAAGTTGAGTCCTCGATGTCCATGTACAGTCTCTATGTGGCAGAGATTTTCTGCTCTTTGTCTTATACCTGTATATAATATTTTCAATGTAGATTCCTCTGTACAAACTCATATACAACATTGACAGGCCCTTTTTACTGCCATATGCAAAATGCTGCACCTTCCTGAGGACTCAGACTCAATTTTTAAGCCTTATTTTTGGCTTTTCTTGTCATCGTTCCTTGAATCTGATTTATTTATGTCGCACATATTCACGTAGTAAACGATTTCTTTCATAACTTTTCACCGGGGGACGACACGCTGCTCAGACCTCCCGGACTGGACCCATGTCTCACACTAGACTTAAATATGGTTAATTAACGCCAAAGGACATAGTCCGTTTGGCTGTGCCTAAGGAATGGATCTTCTTTACAAATATTATAAAATATCTGGAATGTTCCGACGAGATTTGTTATTGTCCCCCTGCAAGTAAACGTCGAAAGTTTGGTCGGATCCACGTGGACACGACACAATTGCATCAAGCCACTCACAGAACGCGATGCCCTCCCTGACAAATCCTCTCAAAGAAATTAAGGGGTCAGGTTGACGTGCCCGTACTAAGGCACCTCCGTTTAACTAATCGTCGACCCCCATCAGGATTCCACTCTGACTTATGATCTTTCGAGCTCTTACCTCCGGTGTATGGTTTTCGCGGTTCTTGATGAATCTCCGCAGTTCTACCCGAAGCATTCTGTTAACGATCACGACGGAATGCTCTGTATTCGCTTGTTGCTAGTAGTTTTATCTGTCAGCAAAGAGGTATCATCTTCGCATCTCTCCGTATTGTCTTGATGACCTCCTCAACAGTTAATGTCTCCTCCTCGGCTGAACTCTAGGCGGACTATGCCCGATCGCTTTCGGCTTCCTCTCAACTCGCAACTCTGACGCGGATAGCCTCATCCGGTTTGGGAATTCTGCCTTGACGATGTCGATTTCCAATCCCTTATCCACAACAGCATAGAGGCTAATCCTGTCCGGCCCGTATATTTACCTTTCCCTGAGCTACAGTTTTTTTCTCCCAAAAGCCAATCAACTATTATTCATTTTGTCTTTCCGAAAAAAATGAGTATTTTCCCTGCTCGCCAATTGTTTTTAATAAGCGTGATCTGAATACTGCACAGATGCTGCCATCTAGTCCTAAAATTAATTTGAAAATTTATTTTTACTTCCTTCAGAGCGCCCCTGTCCATCCACTCAGACTGCGGAGCGAATCTCGACAATAAACTATTACAAGACGTGTGCAACCTGCTTGGAATTTACGAGACACGAACTGGCCTAACCCACCCAGAAATTAATGCCCAAGATGAATGAACTAAACGCACACAGACACAATTACTGAAGGCCTTTGCCGAGGAGGTCCACCCCTACGATTGGGACAAACAGGTACCTTGTGTGATGATGGCTTACCACGGCGCGGAGCACATCTCGACGGCATACGTCCTTTTCTCTATGCTGACCGGACGCCCCTTCGAGATACCGCTAGACTCCCGCTTGCCTATAGCCGCACCTAAAGAATACAATTTAGACGACTATATGTGGCAACAATAAGAATTACTATGGTCAACCCGGAAACTTGCACGAGATCATTTCGGAGCAGCCGCCGAAATACAAAAAAAACTACTCCGATCGCCGGATACATGGTACTACCTACCAATTAGGCGACCTAGTGTGGCGCTTACACCCAGTTCCACCCCTGGGCACTTCGGCCAAGTTCTTCCATATTTGGGAAGAACCATATGTAGTCGTAGATGTCCTACACCCCAACACTTATGTGCTTCGTGACGCTTCATACCCTGACGGTCAAACGTTCACTGCGTATGCCGATAAACTTAATCCACGCCGCGGACGCCAACTTTCGGCCTCAAAAGATATCACGCCCATCGTCCTCAAATTAAGTACCCTTTCCGACTAGCAAATAGATAATGGAGACCACGCTAACGGCGAACCCTGCGGACAGGACTCAAATGGAGGAGCGGAGTGTATAGTGTCGACAAAGGCCGAAGTTGGCGGAAAGTCCAAAAAGACGAAGCCGTGATTTGCGGCTCTGTGCTGATTTCGAGCCTTTTTCTCCTTTACATTACAGACCAGAACGTAAATTCAAACAGATTTAAAATGAAGAATCCGGTAGATATAGTACCTACCGCAGACCCGCAGCAATGAAGTGTCTAACGATCCCTCTTGACCGCCCTGATCCGAATCGCCGTTTAGACTATACGTTTCCCAAACTCATACCCCCCTATCTTACTATATAAATCTCTTGTGCACAAACATTTCTGATCCTATTGAGTGTCGCACTAGCTTGTGTTTCTGACTGAAGAATAAGTGACGCTGGCGATCAGTCAAATTCAGAGTTTACGCCCGGCCCTGAGTCAAAGCCTACCTTTGAATGAGTAACAGCCGCACAGATCACTACAATAAGGACAGCGCAGATGGGTGGCCCGTCTACAACAAGACCATAAATACCTGATGTTCTTTTCCATACTTCAAAAAATCACTTTCTTCATTTTTCTATTCACGCGTCCATGTTCTAACTTATTTGAAGTATCCGGGACGCTTTATTAACGACCTGTTCCAAAAATGCTTTTTCTAAAACTAAAAATGTAACCCTTTTTGTGTAACTTCGTGTTTTTATGTCCTTTGACGACTGTGCATTCAGTCAGTTATCTCTTTTCCTTTCCTAATTGCCGTCGGGGTAGTCACAGACCCAGCGTTCTGTTTGCCATCCTATACTGGCTTTCACCGTCATAAATGTATGCTAAGTCATTATCAAGTGCCAATTGCCCTTGCATGCCTCCCAATAACGAAGTTTTCTCACTGTGAAAAGGAGCTTAAGTTACATAGTTTAGGGAAGAATTGCTCTAACTGTTGCCTAAACGTGCCATTGTCGTTTTACTAGGGTGAATTTCTGACGCTTGGGACGGTATTAACCTCTCGCGGAGTCAGCCCGATGACGGTTCTGTTTCTGCATCCTGATTTAGGCATCGGAGGCGCAGAGCGTGCCATTGTCGATGCGGCCGTAGCAGCAAGATCAATTGGTTATGATGTTGAAATCATAACAAACTATCACGACCCCTCGCACTGTTTTGAGGAAACTTCGAATGGCACCCTAAAAGTTACATCCGTTTTTCAGTGGCTTCCAAGAAGTACATTTGGAAAGCTCACTGCTCTCTGGGCCTTCTTTAAAATGCTTCTTGCCGCTCTCTGGATCTGCATATTCAGGAGGAGCCAGACCGAATTGGTTTTTGTCGATCAAGTCTCAGCTCCACTTGTGATCCTCCGTCTTTTTGGCTTTAGGGTAACTGCGATTTGTCTCCAATCTTTCAGACTGTCTTTTACGGCCATTTCCCAGATATGCTTTTAGCATCACACTCCAACGCTATTCGTCGTGCTTATCGTTCTCTTATTGATAAATTTGAGGAATTAACTACCGTCCTTGCCGACATCATTGTTGTTAATAGCAATTTCACTGGTGGGTCCTATCCAGGAGACCCTTACTCCTTATAAGCTGAAACTTTCAGGAGAACATTTAAAGCTCTCCATAGTAGGGAACTGAAAGTGCTGTATCCGGTCCCAAATTTCGACAGCTTATATTTGCCTCCAGACGTCTTTGCGCCCTCTTCCCCGGACAAACAGTCACTACCTGATCTTGTGTTGGTGAAATCCAAGCTAGATAGTGTTCTGGCCTCAACTGCAAAGGTGATTTTCCTCTCTATCAATCGTTATGAACGTAAGAAGAATATCGGCCTCTCGCTGCAATCACTGGGTTCGTGAGTTCAGTTCGCAACATCCACCTTTAACTTCTTTGTTTTACAAGTTCGCAAATTACATCTTGTAACTTATCCTCTTGGAAATATTCTCCGTAAGTTCTAGTGAGAATGCGAACTCTACTAGAACAAGTGCCGGGAACCTGTTCTTGAGTAGGAGTGCCGTCTGCCCGCTCCATTACGCGTCCGCTTGAATTAATGCCCAAAAACAGGCTGCGCGATAGATGCGCTGGACTAACACGGAAACCACATTGGATTCTAACAGGCGTTATCGGGAACGCAAACCCCAAACAAACGCTTACATTCGGAGTGCGGTGGCAGCCCCAGTTGTCGGCTCATGTCACGTCAATCAGGACCCCTGTTACCGTCCCATTTTTTGTTGTTGCTTAAAATCCTGGTCAGGTGTCTGTTGTAGATCAGAGGTGTGGTGGTACGCCTAGTTGCGGGTCCTGCCGTGCCAGCCACCTGCACCTTTTCTCGCCTCCGGTGTTCTACACTATGACATCGGGCCCAGGTGGGAAAGGGGGACAGATTACGGTAGGTGCTGCTCAAGTTTACTACCACTATAAAGTAAATCACCCACAAGTCACCGTGCCTGCCTTTACCTTGCTGTAGAGCACACGGTGAACATCGTCGGTCATGACGGTTTAACTGTCATTTGGATAAAACACGTGTGTTTGGATCGTCAGTTCTTTACTAGTTGCGTTTATAACAAACGTTTCAGTCAAGGTGGTTGTCTCCTGCAGCGCGTCCCACTTTTAGCATGAATGAGCCATTTGCAGTCTCGAATCTAGGTGTACCCACTTGCTAGGTCAGAGTTGTTAATCCAAAGCGCGCCAGAACTTGGCCTGTCATGCGAGCGTTGTCATGTTGCCTATGCGCCATCGTGAGTACCTATGGCAGATAATGGCACTAGACGGTGTACTGCCAAAAGTCATCGCCATGGTCAAGGCCGGTTGCATTTTCACCACTGCGCGAATTTTGGTCTATAACAATCTTTCCCAACCGTTGGACGTGCGGTCTGGCTGTCAACAAGGTTGTATCCTGTCGCTCATTCTGTTAAACCATGCTGTGCACTGGATTCTGGGAAGTACCCTGCACGACCGCGTTGAATTCGCACGCGGGCACCGGCTGACTGATCCCGACTATGCCAATGATATCACCTTATTAGCTTCAAGGTTTGATGCCCTGCAATCTGTGGTGTCACGCATGAACGCGGTCTCTAAGTCGGTCGGCGTATCCGTAAACGCTGTAAGACCAACGTGTTTCCAAGCTGCATCCTTGGCTTGGAGATGGCACCTCTTGGGATTGGTGGTTGTCAACTACTGCCGAGTGGGCAGGAGAAGAACGACATTGTCTTCCAAATTGATTTTGCCCGACGGGTTTTTTCAAGCCTTAGAAAATGCCTATGGCTCTAATGCGACATCTCCATTGCCACTAAGATTCGCGTGTATCATGCGTTCGTCCGGTCTGTCCTTCTCTACTGTTGCGAATGCTGGGCTGTGCGCGTAGGGAACGAGCGAAAACTGGAGGTATTTGACCACCAAGGCTTGCGGACTATCCTTCGAGTGAAGTACACCGACCTCGTCTCAAATGAGGCAGTCCGAACTCACTGCGACAACATCACAAGGATAACTCAGTCCATCCAAAAAAGACAACTGAGGTGGTTCGGGTATATTCTTCGTCGTCCACCTCAGGAGTTCAGTACAGCTGCCCTCTACCCGGCACCGTTACCCCATTGGAGACGTCGAAGTGGGGGTCAACTCAAAACGTGGCTCGATACAGTTTGTCAAAACATGGAGATGGTTCTTGGACCTTTCGTATTGGGCTTCCGTCGCTGTAGAAGACAATAAGTTGGACTATCCAGATTTATTGCCGCGGATCGTCACGCGTTGAGAAGTGCGGTTCGGGACATCATCGAGGCGGGTCCTACGGATTGTTTGTTCGTGGTTGCGTCCTCTAGTGCTTTGGCTTTTCCATGAATAGGTGCGGATGAGGCCACTTTGTCTGTATTGCATCACCTATGGTGAAGGTTTGTCTCCCTTTCCGAAGCCACGTTTGTCGATTCTTCGTTATTCATCCGTCCCGTCCTAATGTAAATTAGAAGACTGGGACTAGTGTAACATGTTTGTTTCGTCTCGGGTGTGCCAAATATGCACGTTTGAACCTCCAACGAAGTATTGAGAATGAAATTTAAGCGCGCGTGAAGGGAGGGAAGACGGTTAGGCAAGACTAGCGCAGCATGGCGTCAGCTGGCGCAGCGTTTTAAGGGCTGGATCACCGACAACGCAGGGTTTCTCATCGTCCGATAGGAGTTTTGTTGACCGACAACCGGTCTTTGGGTTTGCGTCTTCAGTAACCTATGTTAGTTCGTTGCACAACAGCCATTTCCACTTCATGTGGCCAACGCCTTCGTGGCACTACATTCTGCGCGTGCTCAGACTCATTGTCGGTTTTCCACTCAAGCCACGGGCGCGGCCGGTGTTTCATGAATCTGAACTGCGTTCGCCGTCCATCTCGACTTTTCGAATTAACAGACGAGCAAAACCTAACCTTCTGAGCTGTTGACTGAAAGAATATAGCAGTAGGCCCTAATTTGAGTTGAAACATGACTGGAGCCATTTTGGGTGCCAAAACCTGGTGTTGGCGATAACCAACTTGTTTAATTTGACAATGACGAGAAGCTGGTCGTCATTATTGCGCAGTTCTCTGTCTCAAACGTACGAAAGCGTTTGCGGATCGTTAGACCATAGTACTATTTTTTACCGTCCAAACTCCCTGGACTGACCTCGATGCCACAGAGGACATGAAGGATAAATTGGTAAATATGGTCGCGATCACCTTTTTGTCGTATTTACTTTGCAGAGACAGCGGTGTGCCTTTTTCCGTAGTTAGCCTTTCGTTTCCTGTCCCCATCCAACACAGCGCGAATGCAACTCCCGGTGTTCCAATGGACACTTCTGTAACGGAATCAGCAAATTATTTCCAGACACTGGCTATTCTTGCTTCGGACCGAAGTAGGTCAGCCCCACATAGGGTCAGTGCCAGTGTTGTTGCCTGAATGTATGAGCGTGTAATGTCACCTGTATGCGGCGCCTCACTGACCCGATTGCAAGCGGTAACGCATTTATTTTATGCCGCCCCGGAGCTCGCCTCTCGGCAAGTGATCGTCTGCGAGGATTCCGGGGCTTAGCTGGACGAATGTGTTCCTCATTGCAATTAGATCAGTAAAATGCCACTTCCGAATAGCAGCAAACGAGACGTGAGCCAATAACTGAACTGGTGGTTTTTTGACGAACTGGATCCCCAAATTCAGCCTTCAGGTCTTATCGCCTTGGGGTGGCGCTGCGATCAGCTGGTAATTTGATATGCGCCAGATGACACCCTCCAAGTCTTCATCCTTTTTGTAATTGTTCTCTCTACAAGGCCCCCACCGCTAAGGATTACGTGACTACGTCTTTGAACGTTTGGTTGACAGCACGGATTCCTCTCCTGTTTAGTAGATGCCAGTCCGCATAATCGTAATCTGACGAAATTGTGAACCCTTAGACACGCCTAAATACTTGTGCCTCGTATTACCGAAACCCAGATGACATGTGGGCCGCCCCGAGTGGTTACAAATTCCGAATTTGGATACTTCACACCTTAAGCTCCGCCTGATAATGTCGTATCCTGTACTCCTTTTGCTACTTTCTCCATAAAAATGTACAAACCGATGTGACACTCAATGGCATAACTTTTTGTCCCGTTCTATTTTTGGTATGAAAGTCGAGCTAAATTATGTTAAACATGAATCCTGCTTTACAAAATCCACCCTCCAGCTCTCCTTCTGAAGTATTGGTCGGAATTCGTTGGAGATGCTGCACCGGATGATGTTGGACCTCATGACGTCCACCTCGTTCATGTTGGCGGTTACGACTCCCGGGTCAAGGAGAACGTCGAACACTACCGAGAATTACTTGATCTGGCTGATGATCTTGGGGTTAGTGGCAAATGCTACTCACGATCAGCTTTTGCTACCCTCAACTTAATATTTTACAAATTATCGCTGCCAAAACGTCGTTTGGCCATTTTCTGTTGTTTACATGTGGTTATGTTGAAAAATCACGAATTACACACTTCCGAGTTGGAACAACCTACGGACTTAAATTCGGAATGAAAGGATGATAATTATCTCGAACTCCTCTTCGCCTTTTTGGCCGACTGCCGCTGTTGCCAGCCTACTTGACGATTTCATTCGAACTTTGTCCTAGCAATCCAAACGGGCCAATGTGCGCTTATTCCTGCGAGCATAACTATTCAATTTGACCGGCTGGCAAGTGTGAATCCACAGATTATACCTTCATTTAGCGACACGGTTGAATTTCCTATTAAGTTCCACCTACGGACCGTCTGCGCGGTGCTAGTGAGCATATCTCTGGCGCCGGTCGCGGCTTTTTTTTTACTAACGCCATGATTGTCGAAAAAGGAATTAATGAGCATGAATTACCAACTGTATCGGCTCCACTTGTCTTTGCAAATCTACCGGCGATGTCTTACACTGCCCATGCCTGACGTGATTATAAGACTGGAGACCTGTTAGCTCGAAAATGGGTTGCCATTTCACCCACGCGTCTAGCCTCCGTTTGGAAGATCAAGGGCTTGACAACCTGACGATAAAATTGTAAATAATTTGATTACGCTTATATATGCCTGCAAGGAAGTAGCGTTATTAATATCTCTACATCTTCGTAACCACGCCACCTAACCACCTAATGCCATACGAGTCTGAGCTAGAACTCGCCTGAGAATGATAACTGCGTGTTGTACTAATAGCCATAACAACAATGTCACAGCGAGATTCTGTAGCATATACTACCTATTCCCCATTGTAAATGAATCTGATGATTATAGTACATACAAAACAAGAGTTCACTGAGATGTGTTTTTGTATTTCCAGATCTCGGAGCAAGTCACGCTGCTCCGTTCTTGCACCTCCGATGTGAAGGCACTGCTGATCGCGGCCAGTCACGCGCTAATATACACACCTCACAACGAGCACTTTGGAATAGTCCCCCTAGAAGCCATGTTTTTGTGGCGCCCCGTTATAGCCCTTAATTCTGGTGGTCCCAAAGAAACTATAGTAGCAGGCAAAACTGGCTTCTTATGTGACTACGAACCGGAGGACAAGACCGTGCGTGACATTTCAGGATACATGGCCAGGTTAGTTATATCAAACTATATTTGCTACTATTTTCCGGTGAGTAGGTGAACATTCTCGCCAGTACATATTAGTTGATGGCGGACGACTGTTTTGATGCATGTCTCGTCCAGGAACCTCTTATAATAACTTGCAGACGTTCCGACTTTTGTTAGAGGAGACGTCCAAATAATTAACATTCCCGTCGAGCAAGTCGGGATAAAGTTAAAATTTTGCCTTCTCGAATCTGTTTTGTGATTTTATCCTGAAATAGCAGACACTGACCACTGGTTTAACATGTGTATCGTCTAACGTGGCAGAACAGGTATATTCAAGTGTAGGAGTCGACACACCGATCTTCCACTTAAAAGATTAGCTCTTGCTCCTCATTATGTTGTTTCCGCACCTGTCCGGGACGATCAACCCTGCATGCATTCTAGGTGGCTCGTCGGCCCCGTAAATTCGCCAGGACAGTTAAGTTACGTGATTTACGATTCATGACCTGCTTTGTCGCAGAATTGTTTTTCCTGTACTCGTTGAGGTACTCGCTCGAGTGTCCTGTAAAAGAGTTTCACCGAGAGACTCTAACTTTAACATCCAGAAAGTTTCCTTCTCTTCCCCCTCGGATCCTACTTCTGGCTTGTGTTAGTCGTGGGGGCGCATCGATGTAATGCTGCTTGGCGGACTACAAGGAGCCACGAAATGCAGCACCAAAATCCCTGAAACGTACCAAAGTACGTTGCCGGCAGGGGTTCTGTGAGGGCAGGTGTTCATGCAATGAGCCACGCCCTCTGTCAAGGGCCGAGTCGATTTCTGTGTATAGTGTAGTGTATTTTAGGGTAATAGGCAATGCCCTTGACCCTATTGAGAACGATACATACAATATAAATGTTAAGTTCACATCTTACTAAAACTTTTTCAGTAACATATTTGTTTGCGGAAAACGTTTTACAGTGCGTCATTGCGGGTGCGGCAGGCGGTCTTTTCAATGAACAGATGAAATTTTAAGTGCACTTATATGCAATCAGCATAAAATACAGTCATTTGCGTAGTTTGGGAGGGAGAATTTCATTAAACGTCAGGGACGTGTTATCAAGAAATCAAGAAATGAAATTTATACTCGGCCGCAGATAGTCCTGCAGTGGGAATCGTCTTTTATCAAAGATCAAACGATCCAACTGCTTTTTGAATACAGCTATTGTATCAGATGTCACTATTTCACTTGAGAGTGAGTTCCACGGTCGAACAACATGCTGGCTGAAGGAAAACCTTCGATGGTCTGGTCGTGTACGCTCCCGCTTGACTTTGTACGGATGACCGCGCGGGTGACTCATGGCTGTGAATGCAAAGAAGTCTTCAGATTTGGGCGAACACTCATGCCCGTGGATAGTGCAGAATGTCCATAACAGGCCACACCTCATTCGTCTATAGGATAGGGGGGATAAGTTTACAACAACAACAACTACTACTACCACTACTACTATTACTACTACGACTACCACTACTACTACTACCACTACTATTACTACTACTACCATTACTACCACCACCACCTCACCCCCCCATTGGGAGGGCAAGTGGTTCCAGCTATCGCAGGGTCAAGTTACCGCCAGACCGATACCCTCGGGGACTATCCTCGTCCGAATCGACACTGCTTCTTCTGCTTTTATTAGTCCAGATACGAGTACGAACCCATCGCGAAGATCTCCGTATTCCGGTGTCTGTTCGATTTGTCACCCTACGCCAGTAGAGTTCAGAGCTATGTTTTGAAAAACGAGCGAAGATCGAAGGTTTCTCTCTCTATCGATGCCCTATTTGCATCGTTCGATTAAAGTGTCTGGACATCACATCAAGCGAGACAGTCAACACTCACTACATCATGCTACCCCAGACCAAGTAAGGATGACGACTGAGGTTAAGGGGGCATTTGTCACTCCTTCGCTGGAAACCATAAAGGTGGTTTGCTCGAGACTTAGCTCAACGTAAGTTGCCAAAGTGGTTCCCGACCGCTTGGTCCCGGCTGATATTGATCGAGGTCACCAAATCCTCCTCTACCCTTCACGGATAGATGCGCTGTGTGGAACATCACTGACACCAACCAGAGCAATCACTGCCGCAGCTGTATCAAGTATAAGCAGCTTCCTGCATCACAACAGCCACACCTAACTTCAGTTCATGCACTTGTCTTACTTTAATTGCCTTATTCCCAAGTTTGCACAGAAGCAGATGCAATATGCACCTGACACTTTCCTTCCTCTTTAGATTCATCAAGGAGCCAAAGCTCTCCGAGAGGCTAGGAATTGCCGCCCACGAGCACGTAGAGAAAAATTTTTCCAATGAGGCATTCAAGTGCCAACTGAAAGACATTTTTTCAATGCTCCTGGACGAGTCTAACAAATCCGACTGAAGGAGACAAGTTTTCACTGCTTTTCACTGTTCGGCATAGTTTTGTGTTTTGTAACCTTGGCGTTTCTTGATTTATCACTAACACGTCTTTCAAACTGCCTTAAATCAGTAGTTTTACTGCCGCTATTTGACTGAAAGCCCAGCGGGACTGTGATCATCACCGTCAAAATAACGCAAAAATATGCACCCACCAGGGGTTTTCATTCTCCGTCTTCCCGACAAATAACTTACGCAGTTTTCATGCATAGTATACGGGGACTTCTGGAAGCCGAGACCTTGCATACTAGCCGAATTGCCGGTGGTCAGGTGCGTGGTGATTGGCTAGGGCTACTGTGAAGTTACGGGGCCAAAGTTAAGCCCAGCGATGGTCGGCAATCAGACCCGCGACGCGATGGTCCGCAAGGAGCCAGTATGTCAATCGTACTAAGACGGCGAGTGCGCTTCCTCTGCTGTAGACATCCGGTGGATTAGGTCTCCTGGCCAAGGGCAAACCGGAGCTGGGAAAGTCTGAGATGTCATGATTACGTCGCTTGGACTCAGTCGGTATGATGCACCGCAAAATCCTCCGTCCAACCGGAAAGCACATTGCACAATGGGCCTCCATGACACTCCCGACAGCAAGATCGCCATCCTAATTGCTGTTGGGGATATTCAAGCTATCAGTCAACACGAAGTCAAGGACAGAGAACAAGTAGCCTCAACACTACACAATTCCTAGCAGACAGTGAGATTAGACGCAATCTCCTTAACTATGCACAAATGCATTCATTCCATCGCGAAGTGACGGCCCGCACTACGTCTTTCGATAGTATGGATGGCTTAGTACATCGGTTAGCATGTTTTCGTTTTTTCCGCAGTTCCCTAAGTTAAACTGGGCCACTCAAGACTGAACAGACTAACAGCAAAACCCTGGCGAAGTGGTTGGGACGGTGAAGACTAGCGGTCCCAGCGGTGGTTGGAAATCAGGCCCGCAACACGATGGTCCGCAAGGAGCTAGTATGTCAACCGTAGTAGGACGGCGAGTGCGCCTCCTCTGCTGTAGGCGTCCGGTGGATTAGGCCTCCTGGTCAAGGGCAAATCCGGGCTGGGAAAGTCTGAGATGTCATGATAACATCGCTTGGACTCGGCCGGTATGATGTACCACAAAATCCTTCGTCCAACATCAAACCGGAAAGCACATTGCATACTGGGCTTCCATGACCCTCCCGACAGCGAGATCGCCATCCTAATTGCTGTTGGGGATATTCAAGCTATCAGTCAACACGAAGTCAAGGACAGAGAACAAGTAGCTCAAGTTAGTGAAGACATTGCGAGTAGCCTCGACGCAATTCCTAGCAGACGGTGAGATTAGATGCAAGCTCCATAACTACGCAAGAATGCATTCATCCCCTTGCGAAGTGGCGGCCCGCACTACGCCTTTACTTCGATAGTACGGATGGCTCAGTACATCGGTTAGCATGCTTTCGGTTTTTTCCGCATTTCCCTACCCAAAACTAAAAAACTACTACCAAAACCCTGGCGAGGTGGTTAGGACGGTGAAGACTAAATAATACGCAAAAGTAGTGTACAAATATGCATTTGGGCAGTACAAAAGTAAAAGGACATCGAGGTGGGCAAGGTTTGATGAAAAAGGTTGGTAGGGGGGACGAACACGGCCAGCAGTTCAAATCTACCTAGTAGATAGAAAAATCTGCGGACTAAGGGGGGGGGGTGGTTGTCGGGGTGGCGACAGGTAACTGACAATGCATCCTAACGGCCTGAATTTGAAAATGCACTTGGCTGTACACGAGTACAAAAGAGTGATAACTATCACAGTTGGATTGTAATGCGCCGTGCGCAAGGGAAGACACCGCCGAGAGACAATGGCTCAGGGATGGGATTGTTCCAAGAACGTCCCGATCAGCCTCATGTACGGCGATTTGTGCGGCTCGTGGTCTCCTTCAGAGGGCGCCGACTATTTGAGGCGGCAACTGCGGATGGCGGGGCCTAGAATTGAAGAAAAAATCGGTTTGAAATGCCCCAGAGGTTACGGGAATGTCAAGAAGACGAGGTCTGACGGTGTTTGCGAATCCGTGAGTGACAGTCTTGAAGGAGCACTCGGATCATTCGTCGGCCGTGCTGAAGTACTGCGCGTCTCGCCAGCTCTGTGTTGACCGGAGGTTTGTATGAAACGCACTTCGGCAGCACATTGTTGTCGAGACACCTGTGCAGAAACCGAATCTGCGCATATGTTGACGACTCTCGAAGGGCAAAGGTTTCCCACCGTCGAGCCGATCGGTGCGCTTCGCGCCCAAAAAGATTGCTGATAGAAGCGAACAGGCGAGGCCCAGGAAGCAGTTCAATAGATGATACGATCACTGGAACAAGAAATTTATTGGCCTGACGTTTCGGATTCTCACTCGAATCCATCATCAGAGACATTCGCAGATAGAGGTCTATCTGCGAATGTCTCTGATGATGGATTCGAGTCAAAATCCGAAACGTCAGGCAAATAAACTTCTTGTCCCAGTGATCGCATCTTCATCTTCTGAAGACGAGGTCTGCCCATTGACCTGGTCGCCGGCTATCCACCGCATCCATACCCGGCAAACAGTAGAATGACTGCGAAACAGGCGGGTTCTCGAGTCTGACAAATAACAGATCTAGAGGTCAAGTGGCGGTAGCAAGTTCCGCTACCAATCCGGAAAATCGAGTCTACAAAGACGTCTCAACCCACAGTGGTAGTGAGACAGGCGAATGTTCCCCACTGTCCAGCAAAATCCTGGAACCTCAAGCTGGTGTATTAAAAGGAGTCGAGACGTCTACCATCGGATCCAGAGGACTCTTATCCCACTACCTTCCCCCTCCGCAACTGTTGTCCACGAGTCACTGTCTACCTGGGCTTCGAACCGCCGGAAGGCCCCGGTTCGCACGGCCTCGATGGACTCGCAATTTCCGGCTCGACAACTTCAAGCACCCATCACCTTTTATTATCCCAGTCTTGTTAATAGGAAAGGACGTGCCACGCAAGCGGTCCAGACCAATTCAGGTCGCTTTCTCGTTTGCAATGCCGTGCCCTAGTCGAAATTCGCAGCCTTCCGTGCTTACTCTCCCCCCTCCCCCCAAGAGGAGTCTAGGCGCAGAAAGCCAAAATGCCCAGCTGGACTTTAGATTTCAGAGGCGCATGTAAGAGCGCGTCAGAGAGTCTTGCTACTGATGAGCTCGAACAGCGAAAGGCTGCAAGTTAGCTATGAGGACAAATTAGCAGCTGACAGTGTTATCACAAGTGGCAGACGGCATATTGTAAGGAACTCTAATGGTCAAGTCTCGTGGCCAGGCTAGAAACACTCGGAGATTCACGAAGCAATAGTCGAGTACGGATCGACAGTAGGGTTTAGTCGTCATCCGGGAAGACGACACAACTCACCCATTTTCCGTTCGAAGTGACAGCTAGCGGCTTGGTCTTAACCGGACCGGGTACTTTAAAGCCCGATGTTGTTGCGGATGCAATTTCCGCTGTAGAAGACGTTCTTAAAGCCGAATTGGGGGCCGGACGGAAGGAGTTCTTTTCGCGTGTTAGGACTAGTGAAGGTGTCTGTGCCAGAGACGACTGACTGGAGGCCGGCGTCCGCGCTGTAAGTCGCGCAGGCGGGTTGCGGGATCGTGGGGCAGTGGTAGATGGACTGAAGGACACTTCAAATGCAAGGGGCTGAGAGGGTGGGGGGAGAGAGGCAACAAAGAGAAAGCATAAGCGTGGGTGACAAGTTGAGTCAACAGCCGGGTTGATCTTTTTTGCAAAACGGATGTACCTGGGCATTTTCAGTAGTAAGTGTTAGGGCGAAGCGAAGACGCTAAACAGCTCTATCGCTGCCCACCTTGTTGACGGCGTCACTAAGGCAACGCCTACAAGCTGCAATGGGAGCGATCCGAATTGGCGATCCTCATTACATTCGTCATTCCACACACACCCCGGTCCTTAGTCTGGCGATTCATAGACGCCTGCATTCTTCCTCTTATTCATTATCGTTCTCCCGCCACTTTCCCTGCTTTGTTCAAAGAAGACATGTTGATTTTAAAACGATTCTTCCAAATACTCTCTTCTGTTACCGGTGTTTCCTGTGTCTTTTTAATCGATATTATCATACAACGACATTTGAAAACGGTCAAGCAGTTTGCTGATCGAATTTTGGATGAAGTTGCCCATCCCTTACATTCTGAACCAATCTCTGCGAAGTCGTCGCACAGGCCTGTTCCATGTGATGTGTAGCAATTTGAGACGAAAGGTGCAAAAACTACACCCTGGGGCATTTCACACTTAAAAATAATTGGAAAAACCCTTACGGTCAACACATACGTACCAAAAATCAAAGCCTTTTGGTCCGGACAAAGGTACAAATAGCCGGCAAAAACGCCGACGAACCCGGTTCAGGTTTAGGTCAGCTGGTAACCTAATTACCACGGAAGAGACCAGAAAGTGCCCCCAAGGGTATTCAATTTAGGGGAGTAAATCTGGCGAAAGAGAGGGTAACAACGAAACGCAAAGGACTACCTCTGCTTCGTGAGCAGAAGCATCAGAACCCGAGGAGGAAGAGCAGAACAGCTACCGCGTCTCCCTAAATCCTGAATAAGATGCATAAACATTCTGTCCGGGCTGTCAGCACACTCCAGGCGGAACCGATTATGCATTTGTGAGCAGAACCAGCTCGAGCAGGACGATGCACGCGAGTAGCGTCGATGCAAGCGCCAACGTGTTTTAGGTTCGGCGTCAAAAAAGGCCGTGCAGTGGCTGTTTACCCGACGCGACCATAAATGATGAAAGTTAACGGCACGAGGTGGCAAAATAGGCGCCCTTGCATCAGGCAAATGAACAGTCGCGGCAGTGCCACAAGTCAAATGGTCAAAAAGAAGCTCCAAAGCAGATAAAGGCCTTGCCAAACAACGACCGTTAACCAACATTAAATGGATACCCTGGCCAGCACTGGTCCAAGGCGCCAGAGAAGACAACTTCGAACAATCTGAGTG